GCACACACACACTTACACACACACACACACACACACTCACTCACTCAACACATTCGCACACATTTACTATGAACATAAAAGTATTACGAAAGAGAAGTACAAACCTTCAAAAAACCTGTCTCTGAGACCAGTTAAACGTCGTACTACAACACACAGCCTTCTATGACGCAATCCGTTTGGTTTTTCCACCTGTAGGGTTTGTGTGACTGGCAAACACCAGCGGAGAACGCTCTGGTATTGGCGGTCAGGAAGTGCAAATGAAATTAGGATCCTCCTCAATATCATCAATAATGTAACACGCCTCCTTTCCAAAAATCAATTAGACACTCACGGCCTTTTTAACAGCTACTTGTTTCTTAACGTCTTTAGCGCTCCACAAATACAGAATTAAACTAGAACAACGAAATAAGTATGCAATTAGACATAACGATAAAGTGTATGAATGTAGTTTATAAATGGAACATAATGATGAACATGTAGTTGTTTTTACCAACACATTTAGGTTATTCAGGAGGCGGATACCGACCCAGCCTGTTAGGGGCAACCCGACCTGAAGGGGTACAACATCCCAGAAAAAAGATCAAGATACTCGATAAAACTTATAATGTTACCTACACAGGAATCGAACTTGTGTCTTCAACGTGCGGTGGCAAAGTGCCTGACTGCTACACCTCAGACACCAGATGTAATAATAATATCCATAATCATAATAATAATAATCATAATAATAGACAGCTTTTGTATAGCGCTAATCCCCGCTCAATGGCACGCTCTATGCTCTTCACAATCTATAATATTACCACAGCAGACTGAGAGTATTCTGAAACAACCTCAACTTCCTAGGAAGCATACAGTGCAAACAGCCCTTTATAGGTGCTAAAACACCAACATACTGAAAAGATCTTTCGCTGTCTATGGCCGGGTACCCATTCCCACCAGGGTGAAGTGGGGAAATTAGTGTAAAGTGCCTCTCCCAAGGACACGACGTCAGGCCCGCAGCTTGAAACCCCGAACCCGCAACCTCACGAATTACGAATCCGGTAGCCTAACTACTAGGCAACCGACGCCAGAAGTATAAACGCTCTAACGTTTAAATAGTGAACATAAACTGAGTCCACTTTTATTGATCCACTGAGGAAATTAGAATTAATTAAGTTTGCAAAAACATGTACAGCGCATACGTGAGAGAATGTAAAGGTCAAGTAAGCGTCGTGTCATACACGCTGTAACACACATTTGTGGTTCATAAGAGGCATGCTGCGTATCCCATGGACAACTAGAAAAACAAATGAAGAAGTCTTGGTTGAAACAAATTGCAGACGACAGCTGCTGACGAATATACGAAAGTGACAGGCAAATTTCATTAGACACACAATGCGGAAAGACGCATTTGAGAATATAGTAACAACAGGCAAGTTTGATGGAAGGAAAGAGAGGCAGAGGTAGACAGAGGGAAAAGATACTGGACAAGTTGACAACATATCTGGGAACAGCAAGAACCACAGACACCATCGCTGAACCGCAAGACAGATAGAAGTGGAGGTCCATGATTGTCCACGTAAGTCGGCAAGGCACCGGATGATGATGAACACACATAACGCAACAAGCTGGGTACCCATTCGATGAACGGACTGAAAAGAACCGATCGTTATGTCATTTTGGAGCAGTGTGCACTGCTTGAGAACGGAAACCTCACTTGTTTATAATGGCATCTTAGAAGACGCACTTTCCCAAGACTAGATCTAAACGAAACTAATGAAAAACTGAAAATTAAACTACTGTAACTTCAGACTCTTTAACATAAATGTGCACTCTTTAAATGATTCTGAACCACTGTTAATTTTTCCTAACTCGAAAGTTGAGTGGTTCGGAAGTTTAAGGCGACCAAAGGGGCAAACTTTCACTAATATAATACTAGCTGGCTATCCCGTTCGATAAGCGGACTCAAAAGAATCGATCGCCAGACATTGTGAAATCAGTGCGCACTGCATGTAAACGGAAGCCTCCCTTGTTCACAACGACGTCTAAGAAGACGGACTATCCCAAGATTGGATCTCGACTAAACTTACGAAAAACTGAAAATTAAACTACAGTGTCTTCAGACTCCTTAAATATTATATCTGTGCACTCTTTAAATGATTCTGAACCACCGTCATTTTTTTTCTAATTCAAAAGTTAAGTCGGTGGGAAATTTTATGTAACCAAAGTGACGAACTTTCACAAATATAATAGAAGATAACAAACAAGTCATTGCTGGCGGTCAGTGACAGTGTGCAACGCTCTGTCTTTGAGTGATGGTTGTGACGTCATCCTCTGCTTGTATACACACTTCTTGACCTCTGAGCTTAACACCGGGTCACGCACACTGCTCAGCAGTATTTGTGAGCATGGACACCTTAACATCTGAAGAAGAGGAATAGAGATACCCTGCCAGGGGGTTGGAAATTGAAAAGGGGGATGGGGTGTCTTTCAAGTATTGCACATTCATAGTTTTGATATGGGTGGCATCATAGTGAAAATCAGGCGCTCGTCTAAATAATGAAATCGAAGAAAAGGACATTTTTCTGTTTATTGGGGAATTTGAATCGATTTTTTTTTAGCTGAACACTTTTTATGCCCATTTAAAACACATTTCTATGTGGGCTTTACTGAAATTTTGTATGAAAAGCCCCAAAAAGGTAAATGTGCAGTTCCCCAAGGACACACAAGCTTTGGTCTTTTCCCAAATCTCCTGAGCCATGAGGAGGGAATTTTGTCCTAAGGTCGTTTCTACAAAACCTCTGAACCCTGGAGAAGAAATTCTGTTTAAAGGAACTCTTCTTACTTTTCGGTTTGTTATAAGTTTTTTTGAATCGACACTTCCGTCAACCTCCACCCAAGCTTCCTCCAGTAAAGGTTTTGGTTATACGTGAAGACTTTCGCGTGTGCTCGAGATATGAAACTACTTCAAGTACAAGATTATTAATTTTTTCCAGTTAAAAAATAACCCGAATGTTTTGTAAGCTTCTTGAGACTTTTTATGGGAAAATCCCTTTACGAGGTACACACTTTACGGCGTGCGTCAGACGTGACGTAATAGACACATTTTTCCCCCAAAGTTGAGGAAAAGGATTATCTGAATAATGTGCACTGTCGACAAATTAAATATTATTATGATTCTGTGGAAGCAAAAATGTGGACTTGATCATCATAAAAAGCGCAATCTACTTGTGCATTAACGTTACAGTAGTTTACACTAAAAGTGACGCTCAGTACCCGAAAATCATAGGAGGCTTCCTTTATCATCATCTTAATCCCGACCCCCACCCCACCCCCCCACCCGAAAAAACCCTCTTTTTTCCCATTCCTCCAGCTTTACACACATTTG